CACTGCTCCAGACGGCCTTTTGTAAGACAGTTTCCACTCGCATAAACTCAGCTGTATTTGCTTTCGTTTGTTCAGCTTTTATTCATAGGTTCCGGTTCTTTTTTTTTTGTGTGTGTGTTTTTACACGTTTTTACCGTATAGCGCTAAAGCGCTGCAACGGGTAGCAAAAGCGTATATTGCAACGACCTTGTATGTGTTTGCATTCGTCCGTCAGAATTTCTACTCGGCAGCCATACAAGTTTTAATGCTGAAATTTTACCAGTATTTTCCTTCGCCAAATGCGATCCCAGGAATGTGGCATCAACTGTCACGCACGTGCATGTCTTACGTACGGACACGTGAAAGTTTTGGCGGGAAAACTAAGTCGGGAACGAGAAAAGCTAAAAAGCTGAAACTTTGGGGATGTTCCCTACTCATGTACGACCATAAGATTTCAAATTCAGCTTCTTAAAAACCTCCGAGACACGTGAAAGTCTTGACGAGGAACTAATAACTCGGGGGCAAGACAGGTGGAGAGCTAGAATTTTAAGGGTATGTTCCATACTCATGTATGACCGAAAGATTTCAAATTTAACTATTCTAGTGGGATCCTTTTCGCGCACCAGCGACTTTCCGTTTGTCGGGTTACTGAAGCCGACATCTACAACTGACACACCACGTAGCTGCACATTTAACTTCAGGAACTTCGAAAGTCAGTATGTCACGAATTTTAGCTACTCTAATTCCTTGCGATCTTGCCACAGCACGATGCAAAAACATATGATTGCATCTGCTCGCTTAGTGTATCCCAGGCTGTGTTTTTTATAAATTTAGATTTTCTTTCGTTTGCTTTTCTTTGTACTGCTGTGTTGTCTCTTTATCTTTACTGATGTCTCCACTTCTTGCTTCGAGCTTCTGACTTGTGTCCTCGACCCCCTTCTGTATCCGCTCTCTAAATCTTACCTATGGCCTCTGGGCACCCATCACCCACCACCCCCAACTACTATTATCTTTGATCGTCTCGAGCTCCTGACTGGCACCCTTGGTTCCTCCTCTATCCCATTCCCAATCCGCGTTCCTGGAGGTGCATCTGTGCACCCGCCAATCACTACTTCCAGCCATGTCCAACTCCTCCCCTCCGCCCACCACCTCCTAACCACGCAGTCCAGCCGCTCGGCGCTCTTCGGCAAGGTGCCAGATGGTGCTGGCAAGTGGCACAATGAAATAATGTTGACAGAGAAACTAGAGAGTTTTCGCAATGCCGGCCAAGCCGAATCGAGATTTGATAATTGCTGGAAATTTTTTGTTTCCGACTTAATCAGTAATCAAAAGCTTGCAGTCGCTTTAGTATTGTTATTTTTAAAATGAG